GGAGCGAATTCAGCTCCTGACCTTGGTCGGGCCCCCGAGGCTTGGCGGCGACGCGTCAGAGTGTGGCGGCGGCGCCTCAAGACCCACAAGACAACATATCATCATCATCCTGACCGCGCCCCTGCAAGCTCGCATTCGGGTGGGGGAGCGCGCCCTCTCTCCACTCTTTCAGCGTATTCAAATCTTCAGGTGAGCCAATGACGTATGCCTTGGGCTCGAGGTGCTCGTGGTGCTGGTCCAGCGCCAGGCTCGCGTCCATGGGGCGCCCAGCTGTTCTCGGCGTCCTTCGCCCAGATGTAGATGTCGTGCTTGGTCTTGTCGGCGAGGGCGCGGACAGACAGCGGCCGCGCTGGGTTCCCCGCGGCGTCGTGGAACTCCGCCGGCGCCTTGGTCGCCCTGAACTTGGCCTTGAGCGCGAGCCGCGGGGCTCGCATCCTCAGGTGAGCCTGCGCTGGGCCCTTGGGCTCGAAGGCGTTGGCGGCAGGCTTGCGCGCCGAGCTCGAGCCCTTCTGCAGTCCTCTTCTCGTGGCGATGTAGCCGCAGTCGCCCTCTCCACCGCGCGCTGCGCCGCCGTGGAGAGCTTTTCGTCGGGCGGCGTGAACTTCGCAATCGGCTGGCCGTCGTCGCCCTTGGCCAGCTTCGTCTTGGGCTGGCCCTGCGCTGGGGGCCCAGCGCCAGCGGGGCCTTGGAGGCTGTCTCGTCGGTGGCGGCCGCTTCGGCAGCATCAGACTGTGTGGCCGGCTCCGTGGTTCTGGGCGCGCGGCTGGGGAGCTCCCCGGGCACTGCGCAGGGGGCGGCGCCCTCCGCGCGCTTCGGCTTGGACGTGCGTGCAGCGCGGGTGACATGGATACCGCTCGTGAAGCTGAAGGTGGTGGCCATAACTCCAGCCGGCGGCTCGGCGAAGAAAACCCACGCCCTCGGGCTTGCTCTGACGGCGTCGTTGGCGAGCAGGGAGCCGCGGTCAATGGCCCAACCAGCGACGCCAGCTGGTGTAGTCCAGCTGGCAGGTGCATGTTTCAGGTAGTACTTGGCGGGCTCGATAGTGTCGGGCTCGCTCGCGCGGCTCTGGGCGGCGATCGTGCCTGCAGAAAGGTCGGTCGACCAGTGGGTTCATCTTGTCCTCGACCAGGGCGCGCGCGCGCTGGGGGTACTCCACGGGCTTCTCGTTGCCGCGGCGCACGAACCACTTGGGGTTAGTCGCGGCCGCTTGCGTCACGATGAAACAGCCGCTGGGCGGGATCATCTCCGTCATCTCGGCTCCAAAACTCTGTGGCGCACTGGCGACGCAGCTCGGCTCCGCGATGGCGCTGCGCGCACTCGCGCCCTTGGGGGCGATCTTCTCGCCACGGACTGCAGTCGGCAGCGCCTGAGGTTCGTGAGCAATCTTGGTGTAGAGAGCGGCTCGGCCACGTACTCCTGCGCGGCGGTGGCGGAAAGAGACGAGGGGGGGCTTCTCCCGCGGCAGCGCCTCGTCATCCTTGAGCTCGGGGTCCAGCCCTGTGGGCTCGGGCGCGTCGGGGCCAGCGTGGGGGGGTCTCGCCCGGTGCTTTCGAAGACCGCGGGCGCCCGTCAAAAGAACCGCGTCGTCGCCCTCGGGGTCGAGGAGCACCGTCGTGATGTTCGTCCTGCTGCCGTAGGCGCTGCGGAGCTTCTCCGACATCTCCCTCTCGGCAACCCGAGAGGCGAGGATGGCCGGGGGGTCAGTCGACGTCTCAATCTTCGTCTTCGCCGTCGTGGCGCGCGCCGAAGTCGCTGCGCCCTGGGGCCCCGCCGCCAGCTCGCCCGTAGACGTGGGCGGCGCCGCCTCGCCAGTGGGCTTGATCTGCCCGCCCGCCGCGAAAATGACAATGACCTCCTTCAACTTCCGAGCCGCATTCCCCTGGGTGTACTTCTCCCTCTTCTCGAGGGCAGGGGCCTGCCAGCTGCGCGGGCGCTCGACTATCGGGGGGCCCTTTTTCATCGTCCTTCTCCCCGCTGGCCGCTTCGGGGTTGACGTGGGAGGTGAAACAGGTGCGTCGCTGGTGGGCGCGCCCGCGAACTTCTGCAAGGCGGCGGCCGCCGTTGCAAGCTGCGCCAGCGTCTGTCGCCCCGTGGCACGCCGCTTGGCGGTTCGAGCTCATCCTTTACCCCCGCCGCCGACGGGGGGATCATGGCGGACACATCGTTCGAGACTGCTCTGGAAGAAGATCGCGTCCGAGGCTGAATCCTTCCCCGAGACGACGTCCTGGTCAAACATGTAGAGATGCACGCCCTCGCTGGAAGCATCTTCGGACTCTGCTCCGAAATCTCGATGTTCATCTCATCCCGCTCGGGCCCCAAGGGCGCGACGATGGCCTGGTGCATCGCCCTGGGCGCGGCAACCACGCTGGCGGCGTACCCCGACATGCGCCACCCACAAGAAGCACTAAGTGCACATGCGCAGCAAAGAGACCACCCGCAGATCTCAGTTCGCCGCGAAGCCGAAACCCCGTGCCCGCCATCGTCAGGACGGACTCGAAGGTGCCGTCGGGGGGCTGCTGCTCGATGGTCTTGATTTTTTGCTGCTGCATGGTACTTCTGGAACAACCGATCGTGGGTTGAAGCCAGGCAGACATAGAGGAGGCATGCGAGGAAGGAACAGAGATCTTGACACCTCAGTGTACTTCAGAAACGGTCGATATTAGGTTTGAACCTGGATGCGTGAACCGAACACAAAGAAGGAACATCATCACACACCAAACGAAATAGATGAAGAAGAAGCGCGATCAGTGGGACCGCTTTCAACCATGCCAAAAGGGACTGGGACAGACCGCTCAACGTTGCCACCGCATCCACCTGGCGCTGCAGCGTAGCACCAACAGTGACAATGTGTTCTCCAGGAACAGCTGAATGGCAACTAGAACCTCGAACTATGCTGTGGAGCCGATGGAGTATGCTGTTCTAGCACTTCTAAGGGGCGGTCGCAACCTCGATCATTACAGCGGCAGGTCGATCCAGCGTATTGTAGGAACGGTTGCAGCGTCTGAACACGAAATGATCTATCGCACCCAACATGGAACATGATCACATACTATGGCATGCGATCGACTGCAACACCCTCCCAGCTTTGTTGTACAAATGAGCAAGGCCCCAATCAGGAAACCGCTTCCTAAGCGGCATTGCTTTGCATTTCCTAGCAACGATTGGCATTTTTTTGCGCTGCTCGGCATTTGGAGTTGCTTAGCACTGCTTCGCATTGTTTGGCATTGTGTGGCAGCGCTTGACATTGCGAGGCATTTCTGTGAATTGCTGGGTCTTGCTTTGTATTGTTTTGCTTGGCATTGCCTCGCATTGCTTGCCATAGCTTAGCATTGCTTGGCATCGCTTGGCGTTGCTTGGCATTGTTTGGTAACGCTTGGCAATGTGTCGCATTGATTCGCATCGCATGCCATTGCTTGACATTTCTTTAAATTGCTTGGCATTGCTTGACGTAGCTTGGCGTGTTTTTGCGTTGCTTAGCATTGCTTCGAACACACAAAAAACAAGATCAAGGAACCCGCGGGACACGAAGACAACTGGCATTTCAAAACCAATAGGGAACCGACACCAACATGACCTGGGGAACCCGGGGAACTCCGGGGAGAGCCAGCTGGCGCAGGCCTAACGTTTACCGGGTCATCATTAACAAACAAACAACCCTCAAACGCCGAATTGGGGAATCACATGCGGTGATATTGTGGCACGAATTGAAACGATTCAAATATTTTGGTAGGGCGCAAGAAAGATTACGAATACGAGCGGGGAAACGGGTAGTCCCCGAAAACTGGGCCAACCATAACCTTGGGCGATGGGCGAACACTGCCAAAGCCTATGACCGTTCAAACACTTGCGATCACCACGCGGGTTGAGTACCACAGCGCGCGCAGGTATACCAGAGCGTGTGGGCACTACAGCGTAGGTGACCGCCACATGGCCTGAGAACTCCGTGGGGAGAGACATACTAGGATGAGGATGAGGAGCTGCAGCGGCAGCGGCGGCATGAGCATGCAGTGGCCGATGCTGTGAGCACTCAGGGGCCTGTGAGGACCACGCGGCGCGCGAGCACCGCGGGACGTTCAAACACCACAATGCTTTTGATGGCTGAGATTACCGCGTGACCTTCGAGAGCCAGTGTTGTGACCGCCAAGACATGTCCGCATCACATGGCTTGTGAGCGCCACCGTGCCACAGCAAGTGCCTCCTCCTCCTCCTCCTCCTCCTCCTCCTCCTCGTGGATTCTGGGTACCACACAGGCTGGTCGCATCGTTGGGCTTCGGGCGCCGCATGGCTTTGCGCACCGCCGCGCTCACGAAGAACATAATCCCAGTGGGTATCACCGTGCCTGGATGGATCGATTAACCGATGAACCACTTGGGTAATACAGCTGAGAATAACGACGGCGTCAATACTGATACGGTCGGGAACTTTTGCGCAGCGCGTCGCTCAAGTGGCCCCGACGACACGCTCTCACTTGCAAACGGATAGCGTGTCGCTCCGCTCCGCAGGGAAGAAGGCTCGAGAAAGCTTGGGACGTTGAAGCTGGGGGGCCGGGAAGTGGATAACGTGTCGCGCCGAGGCGTGGTGGGCTAGAACTGGCGGAGCGATACGCTATCCCACAATTTCTAACCGTAACGGGACTGGGAATGATCTCCGCAAGTCGACTGGAGAAGTCTTATCAAGCGCTTGGGGATCGTATGGTACAATTGCGGAAGGGGGAGGGGAAAGAGAGAGGGGGAAGAGGAGCGGGAGCTGCGGGGGGAGAAGAGAGGGGAGAAGAAAAATTGAGGAAAGGGAGGGAGAGGATGCCGCATCCTCCTCCTTCTCCTCCTCCTCCTCCTCCTCCAATTTCTCCCCACCCTCCTCCTCCCCTCCCCTCCTCCCCTCTCCTCCTCTCTCCTCCTCTCCCCTCCTTCCCCTCGTCGTCCTCCACCTCCTCGTCCCTTTCCTCCTTCTTCTCCTCCAAGCTGCAGCGGAGGAGAGCAGCGTGTCTGAACGTCGGCGTCCTGCTCGCTGCTGTTCTCCTTGATGGCTTCCAGGTGTCCCCAGCCGAAGTCCTGCGGCACGTCCTTGTGGACGCCCTTGCCACGCTTCGCCAAGAAGAACGGCGTCGATTCGACGCCTGTCCCGCTGCGGCCCCGGCGGGTCATCTTGTGGCCCCGGAGCGTCGCAAGCTCCTGCGTAGTCCAATCGGTGAGGTGGTTGATCTCGGCCCTGCCAGATGAATGATGCATGACACGAACAAGCTTTCGGAGGTCCTGCGGAGCTCCTGCGTCGGCGTTGGTCCCCCTGACAATGCCTCCGGCGCCGCCCCTGGCGCGCTTCGAGCGCCATAGAAGGAGTTCAGCGCCGACCCAAGATATCCGCGCGCGGACCTCGACAAAACTATGCCAACCTCGCAAAGAAGGGCTGTGATCCCCCCCAAATGGAGATGACCAAACCGTGTGTGTGTGTGTGTATCACCGCATCGTTCTGTGTTTTGCCTCTTCGGTACGCGTTTTCTTTGTTTCTCGTTCTCGTGATCTTCCGGATGCGATTAGACTTTGCTGTAATACGGCATTCTAGGCCTAATTATTGATTTTGTGTCAGGCTTTTCAAAGGGATATTTTTTGTGGCTGATTACCAGTGGGCTCCTTTTGTGGCTGATTAAAAACATTTTTTTTGGGGGGCATACCACGCATGGGTTCCATTTGTGGATGGTTACGAGCGGAAACCTGATGTGGGGCCTTCAAAGTGATTCCATTTGTGAATTGCAAACTCAGCCCTCGTGTGTTGGATAATAAACTGCTTCCTTGTGTGGAGGATTACACCTTGATTAATTTTGTTGCGCATTACGAATGTTTTCTCTCTGTGCCGAGTGCAAAAAATCTTTCAGGCAAATTATAACTGTTTTTTGTTGCGGATTACAGCCGGATTCCTGTGATGGAAATTTGCACGTTGATTCCATTTGTGGGCTTTGTCACCTCCACACGTCATGTCGTCAAAGTTCTTGTATGAGCCAGCGTGGACTCCAAACAATGGGTTCTTGTAGTCTACGTGGTGCAATATACGTGGTGACATGTATGCGATGCAACCTATGTAATGCAATAGTCGTTGCGGTGCAATCTAGGCGGTGCAATCTATGTGGTGCAACCCACTTTGACCGTCTTGAAGCTGTCCTCTCCACTGCTCGCGCAAACATCCCACCCACCCACCCACAACTTGTTTTGCAAAACCTCTTAAGACCGACTGCGACGACACCGACGACAACGACTAGGACGACACCGACGACGTCTACGACGACTTCGACGACGACAACGACGCCGACGCCGACGCCGACGACGACGCCAACGAAGGCGACGACGAGGGAGAAGGAAGGACGACGACGGCGACAACGACGACAACGACGACAACGACGAGGGAGGAGGGAGGACGGCGACGACGCGAACGACGACGAAGGAGGAAGGACGGCGACGCCGACGACGACAACGACGAGGGAGGAGGGAAGACGACGACGACAACGACGACGACGACGGCGACGAAATAGGAGGGACGACGACGAGACGCCGACGACGGACGACGACGACGACGACGAGGAGGAGGAGGACGACGACAACGACGACGGAAACGACCACGACGCCGAAGAGGACGACGACGACGAACACGAGAAAAGACAGAGGACGACGTAGGCGACGACGACGACGACGCGGGAGGAGGGAGGACGGCGACGACGACGACGACGACGACGACGACGCAAGAGCGCGCGCGCACGCTTTTGTTGAAAATCCGTGTTGCGAAACACTGTTTTTTGTAGGTTTTTTAGACGCACGATTTTGAAATCGTTCCGAAACTGATGGGTTTTGAAGATTTTCGGCATACGCCCGCGACGACGCGCGCGTCTGCACTTCGTCCCATTTTTTGCAAAGGATTTTCGCGACGGCACACGCGCAAGGGCGTTCGACAGATTTCGACATGCGCGCGCGCGAAGCCCGTTTGGTAGCATTTTGTCTGACAATCTTGAAAAAACCAATGGATTTCTTAAGATTTCGCAAGAGCTCGCGCGGAAGCTTTTTTAGCAAATCAGTGTTGCGAAACCCTGTGTTTTTGTATGTTTTTGGGAAACTCGATTGCGAAATCCTTTCGGCACCGAAGGTTTTTGAAGGATTTCGGCATGCGCGCGCGACGACGCGCGCGTATGCACTTCGTCCTATTTTTTGCAAGGGATTCGCGAACAAGTGTTATGTTAGAACAAAAAATGCCACCGCATATGGTTTTTTACAAAGGAACCTCAGGGGGGGAAAACCGGCCTGGCTGGGATGTTATGATTTCATATTTAGGATGGACGAGTGTGCAGAAAACATACGAAATCATACTATCCCAGGGGGAACCGATAAGTCTGGGGGGGGGGTAGAGTCTATTCTCTTCTTAGAAAGGAAAATTAATTTCTGTTCGCAGTGAGTTGTCCACTCCACTGCTCGCGCAAACATCCCACCCACCCACCCGCAACTTGGTTTGCAAAATCTCTTAAGACCGTGACGGTGGGTACCACATGGCACTTGGCAACAACAGCGACGCCGACGACGACAGCGACAACGACGATGACGACGCCGCCGACAACGACTACGACGACACCGACGACGTCTCCAGCGACTTCGACGACGCCGACGACAACGACGACGACGACGACACCGACGACGACGACGACACCGACGCCGACGACGACGACGATGACAACGACGACGACGATGACGACGCCGACGACGACGATAACGACGACACCGACGACGACGACGTCAACGACGCCGACGACGACGACGACGGACGACGACAGCGACGACGGCGGCGACGACGACGACGCCGACGTCGACGACGACGAAGACGACAACGACGCCGACGCCGACGACGACGACGAAGACGACGACGACGTCGCCAACGAAGACAACGAGGAAGGAGGGAGGACGACGACGGCGACAACGACGACAACGACGAGGGAGGAGGGAGGACGGCGACGACGCGAACGACGAAGAAGGAGGAAGGATGGCGACGCCGACGACGGCAACGACGAGGGAGGAGGGAAGACGACGACGACGACGACAACGACGACGACGACGACGGCGACGAAATAGGAGGGACGACGACGAGACGCCGACGACGGACGACGACGACGAGGGAGGAGGAGGAAGGACGACCACGGCGACAACGACGACGGAAACGACCACGACGCCAAAGAGGACGACGACGACGAACACGAGGAAAGACAGAGGACGACGTAAGCGACGACGACGACGACGACGCGGGAGGAGGGAGGACGGCGACGACGACGACGACGACGCAAGAGCGCGCGCGCACGCTTTTGTTGAAAATCCGTGTTGCGAAACCTTGTGTTTTTGTAGGTTTCTTGGACACACGATTTTGAGATCCTTCCGAAACCGATGGGTTTTGAAGGTTTCCGGCGTACGCGCGCGACGACGCGCGCGTCTGCACTTCGTCACATTTTTTGCAGGGGATTCTCGCGACGGCACACGCGCAAGGGCGTTCGACAGATTTCGACATGAGCGCGCGCGAAGCCCGTTTGGTAGTATTTTGTGTGAAAATCTTGAAAAACCTATGGTTTTCTTAAGATTTCGCAAGAGCTTTCGCGGAAGCTTTTTTAGCGACTCTGTGTTGCGAAACCCTGTGTTTTTGTATGTTTTTTTTGGAAACTCGATTGCGAAATCCTTCCCGCACTGGAGTTGGAGGATTTCGGCATGCGCGCGCGACGACGCGCGCGTGCGCACTTCGTTCCATTTTCTGCAAGGGATTCGTGACAAAGTGTTATGTTAGAACAAAAAATGTCACCGCATAGTGTTTTTTACAAAGGGACCTCAGGGGGGAACCCGGTTTGGCTGGGATGGTGTGATTTCATATTTAAGATGGACGAGTGTGCAGAATATATATATATATATATATATATATGAATTCATACTATCCCAGGGGGAACCGATAAGTCCGGGGGGGAAGGGGGGTAGACTCTATTCTCTTGTTAGAAAGGAGAATTGACTACCCTGCACCGCGCCTGACCACCTCCACTGCTCGCGCAAACATCCCACCCACCCACCCGCAACTTGGTCGCAAGACTTCTTAAGACAAGACCGTGCCGGTACGTACCACATGGCACTTGGCCACGACACCGACGCCGACGACGACAGCGACAACGACGACGGCGCCGCCGACAACGACGACTACGACGACACCGACGACATCTCCAACGACTTCGACGACGCCGACAACGACGACGACGATGACGATGCCGACGACGACGATAACGACGACACCGACGACGACGACGTCAACGACGCCGACGACGACGACGACGACAGCGACGACGGCGGCGACGACGACACCGCCGACGTCGACGTCGACGAAGACGACGACGACGCCGACGCCGACGACGACGACGAAGACGACGACGACGTCGCCAACGAAGACGACGACGAGGGAGGAGGGAGGACGACCACGGCGACAACGACGACAACGACGATGGATGAGGGAAGACGGCGACGACGCGAACGACGAAGAAGGAGGAAGGACGGGGACGCCGACGACGACAACGACGAGGGAGGAGGGAAGACGACGACGACGACAACGACGACGAAGACGACGACGACGGCGACGAACTAGGAGGGACGACGACGAGACGCCGACGAGGGACGACGACGACGACGAGGGAGGAGGATAACGACGAGGGAGGAGTGAAGACGACGACGACAACGGCGACGACGACGACGGCGACGAAATAGGAGGGACGACGACGAGACGCCGACGAACACGACGAGGGAGGAAAGACGACCACGGCGACAACGACGATGGATGAGGGAAGACGGCGACGACGCGAACGACGAAGAAGGAGGAAGGACGGGGACGCCGACGACGACAATGACGAGGGAGGAGGGAAGACGATGACGACGACAACGACGACGAAGACGACGACGACGGCGACGAACTAGGAGGGACGACGACGAGACGCCGACGACGGACGACGACGACGACGACGAGGGGGGAGGATAACGACGAGGGAGGAGTGAAGACGACGACGACGACGACGACGGCGACGATATAGGAGGGACAACGACGAAACGCCGACGAACACGACGAGGGAGGAAAGACGACCACGGCGACAACGACGACGGAAGCGACGACGACGCCAAGACGACGACGACGACGACGAGGAAAGACAGAAGACGACGACGGCGACGACGACGACGACGAGGAGGGAAGAGGGAGGACGACGACGACGACGACGCAAGAGCGCGCGCGCACGCTTTTGTTGAAAATCCGTGTTGCGAAACCTTGTGTTTTGTAGGTTTCTTGGACACACGATTTTGAAATCCTTCCGAAACCAATGGGTTTTGAAGGTTTTCGGCATACGCGCGCGACGACGCGCGCGTCTGCACTTCGTCCCATTTTTGCAGAGGATTCTCGCGACGGCACACGCGCAAGGGCGTTCGACAGATTTCGACATGCGCGCGCGCGACGCTTGTGAAAATCTTGAAAAACCTATGGTTTTCTTAAGATTTCGCAAGAGCTCGCGCGGAATCTTGTTTAGCAAATCAATGTTGCGAAACCCTGTGTTTTTATATGATTTATTGGAAACTCGATTGCGAAATCCTTCCGGCACCGAAGGTTTTTGAAGGATTTCGGCATGCGCGCGCGACGGCGCGCGCGTGCGCACTTCGTCATATTTTTTGCAAGGGGTTCGTGAACAAGTGTTATGTTGGAACAAAAAATGTCACCGCATAGTGTTTTTTTACAAGGGAACCTCAGGGGGGGGGATACGGGCCCCCTGGGGATAGTGTAAATTCACATTGAGGATGGACATGTGGTCATAATCATATATGATTTACATACCCGAAAGGTGAACCGATAACGCCGGGGGGGTAGATCCTATCTTGTTTTTTTAGAACGGAGAATTAATTTCTGTTCGCAATGAGTTGTCCACTCCACTGCTCGCGCAAACATCGCACCCACCCACCCGCAACTTGGTTTGCAAAATCTCTTAAGACCGTGACGGTGGGTACCACATGGCACTTGGCAACAGCAGCGACGCCGACGACGACAGCGACAACGACGACGACGACGACGACAACGACTACGACGCCGACGACGTCTCCAACGACTTCGACGACGCCGACAACGACGACGACGACACAGACGACGACGACGACGTCGACGCCGACGACGACGACGATGACAACGACGACGACGATGACGACGCCGACGACGACGATGACGACGACACCGACGACGACGACGTCAACGACGCCGACGACGACGACGACGACGACGGCGGCGGCGGCGACGACGACGACGCCGACGTCGACGACGACGAAGACGACAACGACGCCGACGACAACGACGAAGACGACGACGACGTCGCCAACGAAGACGACGAGGGAGGAGGAAGGACGACGACGGCGACAACGACGATAACGACGACAACGACGAGGGAGGGAGGACGGCGACGACGCGAACGACGAAGAAGGATGAAGGACGGCGACGCCGACGACGGCAACGACGAGGGAGGAGGGAAGACGACGACGACGACAACGACGACGACGACGACGGCGACGAAATGGGAGGGACGACGACGAGACGCCGACGACGGACGACGACGACGACGACGGGAGGAGGAGGAAGGACGACCACGGCGACAACGACGACGGAAACGACCACGACGCCAAAGAGGACGACGACGACGAACACGAGGAAAGACAGAGGACGACGTGGGCGACGACGACGACGACGACGACGCGGGAGGAGGGAGGACGGCAACGACGACGACGACGCAAGAGCGCGCGCACGCTTTTGTTGAAAATCCGTGTTGCGAGACATTGTGTTTTTGTAGGTTTTTTGGACACACGGTTTTGAAATCCTTCCGAAACCGATGGGTTTTGAAGGTTTTCGGCATACGCGCGCGCGAAGCCCGTTTGGTAGCATGTTGTGAACATCTTAAAAAACCAATTGTTTTCTTAAGATTTCGCGAGAGCTCGCGCGCAAGCTCTTTTGGCAAATCTGTGTTGCGAAACCTTGTGTGTTTTGTAAGTTTTTTGGACACACGATTTTGAAATCCTTCCGAAACTGATGGGTTTTGAAAGTTTTCGGCATACACGCGCGACGACGCGCGCGTCTGCACTTCGTCCCATTTTTGCAGAGGATTCTCGCGACGGCACACGCGCAAGGGCGTTCGACAGATTTCGACATGCGCGCGCGACGCCCGTTTGGTAGCATTTTGTGAAAATCTTGAAAAACCTATGGTTTTCTTAAGATTTCGCAAGAGCTCGCGCGGAAGCTTTTTCAGCAAATCAGTGTTGCGAAACCTTGTGTTTTTGTAGGTTTTTTGGAGACTCGATTGCGAAATCCTTCCAGCACCGAAGGTTTTTGAAGGATTTCGGCATGCGCGCGCGACGACGCGCGCGTGTGTACGTCGTCCCATTTTTAGCGAGGGATTCGCGAAAAAGTGTTATGTTATAATAAAAAATGTCACCGCATAGTGTTTTTTACAAAAGGACCCTCAGAGGGGGGATACCGGTTGGCATTTGACATTGTGATTTCACATTGAGGATGGACATGTGGTCAGAATCATATTTACATACCCGAAAGGGGGACCGATAACGCTGGGGGGAGGGTAGATCCTATTTTGTTTTTAGAAAGAAGAATCAATCTTTGACCGTCTTGAAGCTGTCCTCTCCACTGCTCGTGCAAACATCCCACCCTCCCACCCGCAACTTGGTCGCAAAACCTCTTAAGACAAGACCGTGACGGTACGTACCACATGACACTTGGCCACGACTCCGACGCCGACGACGACAGCGACAACGACGACGACGGCGCCGCCGACACCGACTACGACGACAACGACGACGTCTCTAACGACTTCGACGACGACAACGACGACACCGACGACGACGACGACGTGAACGACGCCGACGACGACGACGACGGCGACTACGACGACGACGACGACGACGTCTCCGACGACTTCGACGACGACAACGACGCCGACGCCGACGACGACGAAGACGACGACGACGTCGCCAACGAAGACGACGACGAGGGAGGAGGAAGGACGACGACGGCGACAACGACGACAACGACGACAACGACGAGGGAGGAGGGAGGACGGCGACGACGCGAACGACGAAGAAGGAGGAAGGACGGCGGCGCCGACGACGACAACGACGAGGGAGGAGGGAAGACGACGACGACAACGGCGACGACGACGACGGCGACGAAATAGGAGGGACGACGACGAGACGCCGACGACGGACGACGACGACGAGGGAGGAGGAGGAAGGACGACCACGGCAACAACGACGACGGAAACGACCACGACGCCAAAGAGGACGACGACGACGAACACGAGGAAAGACAGAGGACGTAGGCGACGACGACGACGACGCGGGAGGAGGGAGGACGGCGACGACGACGACGACGCAAGAGCGCGCGCGCGCACGCTTTGGTTGTAGGAAAATCAAATGTTTGTTATGTGGTTTTGGCTTCCAGCTGTGAGGAAGTGCTGTGTTTCTATGTTTCCTGTGCCCTGGTTCATTACAAGGCAGGAACACAGCGGAAAACCTTTCTGTAATCCGCTACAACAGGCATCACTTTTCCATCCACAACAAGAAAAATCGATGTGTAACCCGTCTCATAAAATATCTTGTAATCCACCAAGAAAGGAATCATTTTGTAATCCGCCACTAAAGAAATTCATTTATAATCAGCCACAAAGATAATTTGGATTGTCATCCGGCACGAAAGGAATCAACTTGTAATCGACCACATAAGGAATCCTTTTGCAATCCGCCAAGGATAAAACTTGTCATCCGCCACAGAAAGAATCCATTTGTAATTCGCCACAGAAGAAGCCGTAATCAACTTGTAACCCGACACACGAGGAACCGAAAACGTTCAATAGAAGCATAATGAAAAATAAAACAGCAAACAAAAATAACACGAGAAACGCAGAGGAACAATACAGAAACACGAGGTGATCCACACACACGGTTTGGTCAACCTTACCCCCCAAAAAACACATGCAACACAAACGCATGCAACATCATACACCCGCTTGGCCAGAACACTCGCAAATCGAGAACTGACATAGATTTTTGATTCCACTCCAGCAAGCGCAGGCAGCCACAATATTGGGTGTTGCCAGAAGTGCCCCTGGCCTAAAGTGCCCCAGGATTTTCAAGGAGGCCCCCACGGCCTCCAGAGAACCCCTCAAGAGGCCCAGAGGGCCCCAAGGGCTGCAAACTGGAGCGAAAAGATAGGGGCAAATGCGACCAGGGGCACTGTTAGCATACCTAGACAATAACACCCCACCCAACAAACCCGACCATCGACGCGCGTATCACACGTCTTCCGGCTTCTCTACGTGAGGTGGCACGGCCAAGCTGAACACGCATGCGCGGCGCGTCGCATCATGCCGTGGCTTAGCGCAAGCACGATCAGGCAACCATAATGCCTGTCGTTTTTGGGGTTTACACCTACCTCTACCTCCAGCGGTGGACAGAACCCTCTTTAGCAAAACGCCTTGTGGTGAAAGCTGTTAGGGGCACTCCATCTAGTGCACCCCAGCGGGGTAGCGAACGGGCGTCCACGAACAAGCGAACGTACGCCGATCAGCGAAACCGACCGGGCACTGCACCAGCACACTCGAATGCCAGTGTCGAGTGAGCCCGTGCAGATTTCCTCAGTCGACTTGTCAGGGTTGGCGTTCTAGCCCAAACCCGATCCCTAAGAGGTCCCCAACTCGGACGCTGCACCGTTCTGTGTCCCGACCTGTGCAGGACCGCCGGGGCGCAGTTGTGGCTCGCGATCCGCGCGGCCCGCGTCTCGAAGACCCCTTGGCGCATAACGTACTCTTCCGTGCCGGCCTTGCAGGATCCGTCGGCGTCGGATCGAGAAGTCGGCCGGATTCTCGGCGGCGCGCACAAGGGGGAAGGTAGAGGGGGCGGGCCTCCTCAGAAGGCTGAGGAGGCCTCTGGCCTTCTGAGAAGCTCCCTCGGCCTTCTCCGAAAATGCAGACGGCTTCTCAGCAGGCGGGCGGGCTTCTGAGAAGCCCCGCCTGCCTTCTGAGAAGGCCTGCCCCGTCTCACTTCCCCCCTGGGCTTGCCGCCGAGAGTATCGGAATGTGAATCGGATCGGGCTGCACCGTAACAGAACCGTAATCGAATCGGATCGGCTGCGCCAAGATGCACAACAACGCCACGGAAAAATATCGGGCCGCATCGAACTGTCGGAATGCCGGCACCGACTCGATCCGAGAGCTAGCCGGAATCGATGTCGAATCGGATTGATCGGATCGAAGTGACCTCCCCAGACATCATCTGATCTGTTCTTTCAATCCGCGGCCCCAAAGTCCCGATTCCTTCCCCAGGGGTAATTTTGGATCCTGGGTGCATTTTTGATGGCCCTGTGGCCCAGAGGCCAATCGACGAAAAACGCCGAAAGTGAAACATTTAGATCCTCGAAGATCTGGGCCTGGCCTGGTAGGAGCGGCCGTACTTCTCGACGTACGTCGGGAAGTCCATCGAAGGGCTGCCGCAGTCCTGAGGAACAAAAGCTGGCATAAGCATAAACTTTCGGAGGTCCGCGCGGATCTCTTGGATCCGCGCTGGGCCCCCCTCCCTGACGCGCGGAGCGCGCCAGGGGCGGCGCCCAAGGCGCAGCCAGGGGGGCCATCGCCGATCTGAGAAATAAGAGCGGAGCTCCGACAAATCTCTGCTTACCGGTGCCGCTTTTTCTTCTTCGAAGTCCCTGTGGGCCTCCAGGGACAGCGCGCGGGCCACGGGGGCACTGAGCGCGACGAGGGCGGCCTTCAGGCCGACGGGCGCCATGGCGAGGCAGGCGGCGGGGCTCGGTGTATGGAGGGTAAAGTGGTATATGCAGGCGCTGGCGACGCACAAAGTCAGAAGAATAACGGGAACCCTCCTCCTCCTCCTCCTCCTCCTCCTACTCCTCCTTCTCCTTCTCCTCCTCTCCTCCTCCTCCTCCTCCTCCCCGCTACAGCTACCGTTCCATCGTTTTCGCCTTTCTGGGCCACCTGGGAGGCCCTCGTTGCCACGGCTGGATTCGCCTCGAAGTCGTGGTCAGCACGCACCCTGGGAGATGTCCAGGGAGTAGCGGTATCGGTATCTTTGGGTTTCCCCTGAGATCTGGGCGTTGCAATTTTTTCACGCCAGCTTGTCATCGCTCGGACGTCCATTCCCCGTACATCGTGTGGTCTCGTGCGTAGTTTTTCTCTATATGTTCCGAGATGCTCCAACATGGTACCAATTTTCGGGTGCTGGTCTCGCTGAGAAAAAAACGCACGTCCGAACGATGCCAAGCCAACGGTTTTCGGTCCCGGGGGCCCTCACGGACAGATTTGGCTCAAGAGGTGCCGCAGCAAAAACACGACTCCGCGATGTTGTTACAGAACATATGACCAAGACATCTATCGTGTAGGACATCTGGGCCAGATTTCCAAACGTTTCTGGGGATACACCTGGGCCAACTACTGTTGCTAACGCTGGGTGGGTCAGGAGAGATCCGGTGCATTCGACGCGGTATGGCCGTCAGCGAACACCATCGCTCGGCGCAAATACGGCCGCGCTCAAGTTCTCGCGCACGACGGGCGAAAGAACTGCTCCATCGGTCGGGCGGGCTTTGCGTTTTGACGGGCGTCTCTTTCGCAGCTGCCTGGTGGAGGTCTTTTGCTTGGAGTCGCCGCTGCATTGATGGCTTTCTGGACCAGCTTTCTGGGAGGAGGTTTCTTACTCGCCACGTCGGATCTCTGGGCGGGGGAGGGGGGGAGCGGCGGACTTCCAAAGACGTCACGGGGGGGAGGCTCTGTATTTTTTGGCTTTTCTCAAGGAGGCGTGCTCAGGCACCTTCGGGCTACCCAGGAAGGCGTTCTCAGGTAATCTCGGGCTGCCCTGGAGCAGGTACTCGCAGGTACCTTCGGCCTGCCCTGCCCAGGGAAGCGTGCTCAGAAAAAGAGGTCGGCCGTTTTTCGATGGCCCTCAGAGCGCGTGCTGTCCGCACCGTGCTCCTGTCCACCAGGGTCCTGCAAGTGCGACGCAGGCGACGCGGTGAGGGTTGACGCCGTCGCGATGCGCTGCGCCGGGTCGCGCTCAGGCGATGTTCCACCTGGCGCAACAGATCGGTGGACTGTATGGTGGCAATCGCTGGCAGAGAAACGCGCGACCAGGCGCGCACGAAGAAGATGCTGGACGTGGCCATGCCAGTGCAGGTGCAGGAGCACTGGCCGAGCACCACCCGGCTGACTGCAGTACAGTGGGCGGGGCAGACACGCACACACTCCCGGCCAGCGTCGAGGCGAAACACGAGGCTGGAGCCGGTGCGCGCGCGCGGAGGGGCCCTCAGGCGAAATCGCTTCGAGCCCCATGCAGGCCCGCAGCTGCACACCATCCGGGCGTGGGTGGCGGGGAGGTGGCACGCTGCCGCCCAGCCGGGGACCACCGCACACTTTTTCGTCGGCGGCGAGGCAGAACTGCTGCACCAGCGGTCAGGGTCATCTCAGGAGAGGTCGAGGCTCGAGAGGGGTCAATGTTCCAAGCAATGCCTGGGGGGGATCGCCACGGAAAGGGCCGCCACCTCCTCCAGGGAGGCGAGGCGAGGCGAGGCGAGGCGCGCTGTGTCCGCCGGCCGGCCGGCGGGCCCCTTAGGAGCAGCGCGGGTGGGCCGGAGCCCTCAGAGGACGTGTCGGGGGCAGGGGTCGGAGCCGGAGCCGGAGTCGGAGAGAGGAGAGGTGTGAACAGGAGTCGGAGAGAAAGCCAGAGTGGGAAGAGCACGTAAAGCTGGAGTCGGGGAGGCATTCCAGATCCTATAGGTTGTATGTAATGGGCGTCGGCGTAATGTATGAAATCATCTTGTAGATCCTTCCATAGTTGTTGGTATGGGCCGTCATCATTCCTCACGTCGCTGTTGCTGGTTGCGTGGTTCGGGTTGTTTGCTGTGTCGGCGTCGGTCATGTTGTGGTGGTGGTCGTCGTCGGAGGTGTCGGGCGCGTGCTGGTGTTGCTCGCTGCGTCTCCGCGGTACTCCCGTGACAAGCCTGAGCATTTTCCGTTGAACGCGCCTGAGAATAAGAAACATCTCCTTCGTCAGAATCCAGGATGAGCAGCCGTACAACACAGATGGCGTGACAGTGCCATGGAGCAGCCTCAGTCTACTATGAAGCGGGAAGCGTTTGTTGGTCAACTCGTAACGAAGCTGATTGAAACGGGCCCACCCTGCGGCAATCCTGTTGTGCAGCTCTGTGTCATGAAAGTCGTGAAAAGTGAGTTTTCTTCCCAAGTACTTCGTTCCGTGGCTGGAATGTAGGATGCTGATGCTGTCGCCGTTGATCTCGAGATGGGTGTTTGTTCGCCCCTCTCTCCGGCTAATGTTTGTCAGGATCTTTGTCTTTTCCGGATGTAGCAACAGGCCACATTTAGCTGCGTGGGTTTGTGCGTCTCGAAGTAAGCAGGTGAGCTGTCTGAGGTTGGTGGCGTACAACAACACGTCGTCGGCGAAACGCCAATTTGTAATCCGCGCCTGTGCTGAAAAGCCAAGTTGGATCCCGAATTTCTTCCGTGCCCAAACAGGTTTCAATTGTCTGAACACACGCTCTAGGACGGCGTTGAAAAGGAAAGAGCTCAGCGGGTCTCCCTGCATAACGCCCCGTTCGATATTGAAGGCTCTGCTGTTGGTATCCGTCCGAACTGTACCAGTTTGGGTGCTATATGAGTGTCGCAGGAAGGTGATGTAGGCGGGAGGTCTATGTTGCTGTCGTAGAGCGTCCCACATACAGTCGTGGTCAACACAGTCGAACGCTTTCTTGACAGCCCAGAGCGGCAGCTGCCATTCGTAAGAGCTCTCATGAAGCATTGCTGTGGTGAACAAATGGTCCTCTGTGCAATAGTTCTTGCGGGAACCTGCTTGGTCTGGGCATTGTTGCGAGTCGAACAAGGCGCCGAGCCGGTTGCAAAGGAGGCGAGACATCAGCTTATATAGCAGAGGGATGATGGCAATTGGTCTGTAATTGCCTGGTAGTTTGGGGTCACCAGACTTGTGCATTACAGTAATGGTGGTGTTCCATTAGTCTGGCGGGGGGCGATCAGGCTTGATGGTGTCGTTGTGCAGTCGAAGTAGGTGGCACTGTAAGGTGGCGCCTCCTGCTTTGAGCAGTTCTGCAGTGAGCCCAGCGGTGTCGCTGCACCTGTCGTTCTTGAGTTGTTTGATTGCTTGGTGGAGCTCGCTTGCTGTGAAAGGCGGGATGGTCGAGTCGTCGTGCGTCTGCAGGTGGGTGTTGCCGGTGCTGGCTACGCGGTGCGGGTCCTTGTACAGCTTCTCGTAAAAAGTCGCAAATACGTCTGCTATGCTTTGTCTATCTGTCTCGTCGATGCCTTCAGCTGTCGTCATGGATGGGATCATACCTTTGTGCTTGCTGGTTTTCGCCCCAGATATTTTCTTCAGTCCTTTGAATTGGCAGACAATCTCCTCGAGCTTGGCATTCATCTCGGCACGCTTGATAGCCCTTGTCTGTCGCAAGATTTGTTTACTAAAGGATCTTCGTGCAATTGTGTCTCGTGGTGCGGTTGCGCGTCTTTGTTGGATGAGTGCCTTGAGCCGTGCTGTCGGCCCATCGTTGGCGTATCCTTGAAGGTATCCGGCTGGTTGCTCTTGGTGTCTCCGGTAATCCTTATTTGCAAGCTTGAGCCCTTCTCCAATGTCATGGTATCTGCTGTCCAAGTCGGCGTCATGGTTGTGGTCGCTCAGATGCTGTTTTAAGCGTTACTGGAAGAATGGGTCGTCGGCTGGGGGATGGGATCGCGTGCCGCGGTGCGGTTGCTTCCGTCTCCTCTTTCTTTTTGTCGTGGCCTCAAGGTCCATCTTGACGTGCGCAGCTTGGTGATCGGATTCGAAGTCTGGAACGTTGGAGGCGTACGAATCGACCACTTGGTATCGTCGTGCTCTGTCTATCAAAATGTAGTCAATTTGTGTCTGTGTCGGGTGTTTGCCACTGCTTATATAGGTGAACAAATTGTGGAAGTGCTTGTAGAAAAACGTGTTTGCAATTATCATTTTCCGTGTATTAGACCATGCACGGAGCCGTGTCCCTCTTGGGTTGCACAAGCCCAAACCAAATTTGCCAACAGTATGTCTCCAGCTCATGTGGTCTGCTCTTTCGTCGTCGTCGTCCCTCTCGTCATCATGTATATTGGCAGGCTGTCTGCTCACTTGCGCATTGAAATCTCCAACAATAACACATGTCCGCTTGGATTGCAGGGCGTCGTCGTGAATCGCTCCCAACTGGTCGTACATATGCTGTATGTGAATGTCCACGTAGCCGGAGTGGGGGAAATATGCCGTCACGATTCTGATGTGCTGTTTGGGGAAGTTGACGTCGATGTAAGCGATTCGCTCGTTGATGGCTTCGAAGCGTTTGACCTGTTGGACGTGTCGCCGATGAACAAGAAATGCAACTCCACGTGACGCATCCGTATGGCCCGATGCTGTGAATAAGTGCTTCCCGCGTTTTGTGATCCACATTTCACGAGATTCCTTTTTCCATGTCTCGTTGATGGTAAGTACATCCCATTGTACGCCGTCCAAGTCGTGCAACTGTGCATCTATCGAGTCATCGCTTGTGAGGCTTCGTGCGTTTTTGTGTATGATGGTGAATAACTGAGTTGACGATGGATACGGTGTTGGAGTGCGCTGGTCGTGCTTATCATTGTCGTCGCTCTCTCGCGGGTGGTTTCGGTGTGTGCTGACGGGGACGTCGCCGTCGACTGTATTGTATTTGCCTCGTCCTCCTCCAGTGCTTCTCAAATTGGGCTGGTGTTGCT